AGGTGCAGGAGTCTCTACTGGTATTAGGATCAATGAAGCCCTTCAGTCCCACGCTGTCCTGAAGTCCCACATTGCCCTGGCATCCAACGGTGAGCACGGGTTGATCTATATTAACCAAATTATATAACATTGTATATACCTTAAATGTTGGAGGTCTTCTCATTTACATGTAGTGTATAAATGTTCTGTTTATATATTATTATATCATATGTATATGTGTAGAGATCAAAAACTTACGTTCTTCTTCTTCTTCAATTTCCATTCCAGTTTCCTATGCAGCAGGTGCTAATTAATATCAATAGAATTTATTAAATATTTTCATTAAAAATTTGTTAAATATACTTTAAAAATTATTTACCGTTTTTTATCGTCCATGTCTTTAGTAAAATCGTTGGATTCCATCCAATCGTTCCAATCGTTGAATTATCGATCGCATTCGATCGTGCTGTTAGCTTCGAAATAATTGAAAACGTTCGTATGTTTGTAGTGACACTGGCGCCGCCAAACCTCGGGAGCACGAATTAAATCGGGCTTCATGGTTACAAGAGTAGAGCTTGGGGACCCTGGTTTACACGGATTAGATTTCATTGTCAATTAGCTGTTTATTTGTCAAAAATATTATTTCACAGTTTTATCTTCCATATTAAAAACTTGTATAAAATATATAAATCTTAATTCGTGAGATTGAATCATGTTTATTGACATTTCCATAAGTTGCAATAATGAAACAATCTTATTCGCTAAACAGTCAATTATAGCTGATGACGTATCGTGTTGAAATGATACGAACAAAGAATTAAACAATGATACTCTATAAGATAACCAGTTCCAATTATATTCATCATGATTATTAGTAAATTTGTATTGTAATGTGTTATAAAATATGTCATAAGAATATGTTATAACTATCATTGTTTACATAGTGTAACCTTGTACAGTGCTGTGATAATTTTGTAGAAAAACCGTTTTAAAAATAAAATGGATAACATAATTACTGGATGGAAACGTTACGTGTTGGTACAACCATCTTTAATGTTATTAATATTTGCTCAAGCAATATCAAGTAACTATATTATATTTTTAATTGTATTTTTAGTACTTGTATTAATATAATAATGTTATAAAATACATATTTACATTTTTGAGTTATAACATTAAAGTACATTAGAAAAGATTCTGATACTCTTGGTGTCTAAAATAAGCATTACACAGAAATAGTACACCTGTTATATAAAACTATTATCTTGATTTCATTTTAGGTGAACCCGAATAATAATTTATTATTTTATTATTTAGTATTCAAACACTATAAAATGTATTGTGTAAATATTGTAAAAATATTTAAAAAATTTCTTTCACAAAATAAATTATATAATTTACAATTAGTGGCATATTAATTTATTTAATACTTAACTGAAGTTAATTAATATGAAACTGAAATATATGGTTTAATTGTAGGTAATATTTTAACAGATTTAATAATATATCGCGTTTGTAAGATAACGTTAGATATAAATGAGACTGAATGTTTACTATTGCATATAAACAGCAGTTGTGCTACAGCATTGCAAATAGATGCACAAGTTCAACCCGAAGCAAGTTTAGTTTTGATGATGAAAACATTTATTGAAAATATTTTTCCTGCATTCTTGTCTCTGTTTTTGGGACCATGGAGTGATAAACACGGAAGGAAAGCAATCATAGTATTGGGATATATTGGTTAGTACTATATCATATATATATTTTAATGTAGAAGTAAATCTATTGCTTAGCTAATACAATTACTCCATTCGCGTCATGTACCTTTGTATTGTTTGGGAAAGTGTTCTTACTTTATTGTCATTCAATTTTTTATGTCATAGGTCCATCGCTGACATATTTTATTCTATCTTTCATGACATTTTGGGATATCAGTCCATGGTTTTTATTAATTGCATATATCCCAACTGCATGTTTTGGAGGATTCTGTATAATTTTATTGGGTACTATCTGCTATATTTCTGACATAACAAATGAACAAGATAGAGCGTGGCAATTAGCTTGGATGGAAGTTTTAATATTTGTTGGTGTTATTGCTGGTATATTGGTTGGTCCTGTTGTTTTCCAAGCATATGGCTATACAATTGTATTTGGTTGTGCCAGTTTGTGTTGCATTCTAGCAGGGTTGTACATTTATTTGTTAGTCCCTGACTCTATTTGCAGTAGAAATTTAGTATGTATTTTGTAATTTCTTACTAGTATACTTTCATTGTTCATATTTATAATATCAATTTACTGTTCTTATTTTATATTAGAATGTAATTAATGTTTTTTATCTTTTGTAGATAACTTTAAATAGCATATTCGATGTACATTTAGTCAAAGAACTTATTAGTACATGTACCAAGAAACGAGATGGGTTTAATAGGTACATAGTTTGGTGCTGCCTAACTGTCATTATTTTATTCGTCATAGTTCTTCAAGGAGAAATGACTATTGGATTTTTATTTGCCAGTGCTAAGCTTGGCTGGGATGTAAATATATATTCTATTTATGTAGCTGTTAATATAACATTCACAACTTTTGGAGTAATATTTGGAGTAAAGGTTTTAACAACGTATACAAGTATGGAATACAATTTTCATATATATTACATAGTATGTGTTTAATGAAAAAGGTTTGATGTAACGACATATTTTAGGAATTTCCGAAGAAACGGCTGCTATACTGTCAGTATTATCATCTTTAAGTAGATCTCTAGTTCAAAGTTTAACATGGAAATCTTGGCATATGTATTTATCTGCAGCCGTAGGAGCATTTAGCGGTGTCGCTAGTCCTATGTTGCGTTCTATTATATCTAAGTCAGTGCCTCCAGAAGATACTGGTAAAATCAATTTTGTAACTTTTGATGAAACTATGAAACGAATATTAAATTAAATTAAATACAAACCTTTATTTATATGAAATGTTTGAATAGTTATAGAAAACTAAAGAATGAAAAACAAACAAAGAGTACACCTATTACAACATGTATCGCGATATAACTAACTCTGTTGCACCTACCTAATATATAACTTAATAATGTTCATAAATTCTTACAGGTAAAATATTTTCTCTATTAGTATGTATTGAAACATTAACTCCACTTGTAGCAGCTTCCTTATATGGATTGATGTATTCACACTTTATGCCACCTGTATACCCTGTGCCAGTCTGGCTGGTATCTGTTGGAATTTACATAATTGTAATACTGGTGCTAATAAATATACGAATTAAAAATAGAAGGTGTAATATTTTAAGGTACACGCCATTGGTACAAGATAGTGAGCTACTCTCATAAACTCATACAGATATCTATCGTATAAAGAAGTACTCACGAGAAAGAAACACTTACGGACGCACAAACTTGTTACTTTAATATTAGTATCCATTAATATATATTTTGTAAATCTTATTTTTACAATATAATAACAATATGAAATAAAATATTGTAACTTTAATCAATCACCTGAAGTAGTTTTTTAAGTACACATTTACATATACTTTGTTTATAAGTTACGACAATTGGAATGTGAATAATTTTAATCAGTGTTTTTCAAACTGTACCTTCTCAATGATCCATCAATGAAGGGAAATTTTTAGCAGACATGATCTCGAACTGTTTTTTAAAAGAATGTATTATACTGATATTTATGTTTCAAATTGTGATTAAATGTGAATAGTTTTAGTTAAAAAGTAAATATGAAAAAGTTATTAAACTTGCATCTCAACAAAAAGATCAAAAAGAAGCACCAATTTTTTGTGCTCTAGTTTAATAAGAATAAAATATAGGAAGCAGTTTTCTTATTGCACGTATGTTTTTTCTTTTTTTTTTTTGCGGATCTTGATTTAAAAAACGCTGATTTGGATCAATATATTGTATATAATTTATATTTCATCAAAATAGTCAACATGATCGCCTGATTTATATTTACGGTTTTTAAGAACGCTTAAAAGTCGGTTAACTGTTTGTTCACATGTCAAGACAGATGCTTTTTTAACCATATCGTTGAATTGTATCTTAGTTTCTTTGTTACCCACTTCATCACAAATATGCTGGAACATGTCAGTTTGAACTGGTCCTGGCGAGTAATTCAATACATCGACTTGTGGATTTTCCAAAGCGAACACCTACGTAACAAATTCATCTAACAGTATAACATGAAACTAACTATTAATAAATGATGCATATCAATGCAAGATAGTTACCTTAAAAAACATTTCCCGTGCTGCTTTTCCAGTACAATAATAACCTACTCCTTTTCCTGCCTGTATACCAAACAATGAAGTAATATTTATAATTGTTTTTTCAGTATTTGTTTCCTCATTAAATATTTTCATAACAACTCCATTTAATATAGCTGGACTAAAAACATTTATATCAAAATAATTGCGCCAAGCATTTATGTCAGTCATATCATTTGTAGATTCAGTAACATTTCCTGTTGTACCAGCATTATGTACTATGACCACTCGATCAAACTCTTTTTGCCTTTTATTTTTTATAGATTGCATTATGATACCTAGAAAAAATATAAACATAACAAATAAAAATGTTACACATATATAATCACATGATACTTTGCAAGCATGTATGAACATGTATTTGTACCTACATAGTATACAACAAATTGATAATTATAGCCATTAATTAATAATCTGATTGCATGGTAATTGTGATCATATTATTAGTCACATTTTGTTTAATAGTAGTATATAAATGTATATACATACTTACTATGTAATTCATCTTTCGTTGCTTTACCCAGATCAACACTCACAGTATCAACAGATATACTAGGAGGAATATAAGTAGCAGATTCTTTCAAAGCATTTAAATTTGTTGCCAGTAAGAGAATATGAGAACCTTCCTGTAGGACAGAACCAAAGGATGTTGCAATTTGTCTTCCGATTCCACGACTTGCACCAGTTATTAGCAGAAATACTTTTCCAGATAATGCTTTGATCGACATGTTTCCTCTAAGATATAAGTTACTGCTTTACTCTTTGAATTTACTTATTCATTAATGAGTTTTCTATAATTTCCTTATTATTTTCAGTTTCTGTAACTACTTGAAGAACATCTGCTTTTAAAAGATGAACTAATTCACTAGCAGTTACTGCCTGAAATAATATATAACATATTTAATACAAAAATATTTCTAGAATAAACATATTATAAATCATTTATGTTTGCATAATTACTTGTAAATGTGGTGCTAGATGTCTAATTAAAGGATTTAAAGCTAGTTCTGTTTCCTCTTCTATTTCAAGTCTGTGCCCAGAAGTTATCATTCGTGTGATATAATCTTCTTTCACTTCTGCTAAAGATGCTACAAGATCTTTCTTTGATGTCTCTTTTTCAAGATTTCTAAGTCTGGAATCTATAACATATTTATTTATTGACTATGTCATAAGGATAATGCTTACAAATACTTGTATAACTGTCATTATGTAACTTTTTCATTACACTGGTAACAAATTTGATTTGAAAAAATCAAAAAATCGTTCAATTTTTACTTAATAACAAGTTGGACTTATAAAAGAGAAACGAAGAATCAATATTATTTCCAAAAATTTGTTTAGTTACGAATTGAAGGTTAACATAAATAGGTATACTTTATACAGATTTTTAAAAATAAAATTAAATGATAGACTACTTACAAAGTTTCTGTAAATATTCTTCGGAATCAACAAGCTTCTTACATCTCGACTGATATTCTACAAAAGAGTCTTCAAAATGATTGTTGCACTTATTGTCGTTGCAATCTGGTACAACTATTCCACACCATGGATCATTGATATCTGTCTTCATGTTTGACGTAATTATGACTTTTATTTTCTGATTCACCAAGGTTGGCCTTTCCTTTTCGCATAAGTAGGGCAGCTGTTGCGAGTCCGTGCGGTTTTATTTTAAGAGCTTAGAGTTTTTCTGGCGTTCGCGCCGCACGTGACAAAATTTATTAGAACTGCATGCGACTTAGTCAGGATTAAGTTAATTTAAGATAAATTAAGAAATGTAATATGAACTTTATTATAACTGTTTAAATATAACTAATTTAACACAAAAGTTGAATTTCTTTACTTTAAATACAAGCTTTTACAATAGTAAATAATAAACAACTGATATGATATTTGTAATATGGTACGAACATAATAAAGTACTAATTGTTATTTGTGGAATGTAATGATAGTATGCAATGTAAAAAATATTGTATAATAAAAAAGGTAAAACGTTTATGAACATTATTTTTGAATATACGTAATTACATAAGAAAAAGCACACTAACGCAGGAAAGGCACGGATGTTGCAATCGCTTTTGCAACGACACCCTACGGGATCGTAGTACGTATGTAGTATTGCAAAACCATTCTGGCTTTTTTCAGAATGGGTGTTTGTTTTCGATGTACAATAAAAGCATCTAGCAAGGTTCGTTAAATACATTGGTAGAGTATTAGGTTGTAACGCTGCTTGAACTCGGGTACGAATCCCGATTGATGTATTTTTTTTTTTAATTTCAATTTTCTATCAGAAATATACTTTTTGGATATCATGTACTATATACTGCATATTATATATTACCTTACGCATATTTTAAGGTTGAAATTAATTTTTTAACGTAACATATCATGCCGGAATACCTACTTGCTGTAGGTGAGTAAGTCTTTACAACGATTTTTATGTTTGGTCGTAAGTTTATTTCGTTTTATCGTGACAGTGACATGAAGGAAGGTTTGAAAGTTTGAAAATGGATAGTGATTCTGTGCGTGCAAGTTGGTTTGAAGAAATAGTCATCGATAGCAGAGAATCCAAGCGTAAAGAGGACAGAATGTGTGTAATGTTTTCTCTTTCTCTGGCGTGTGTATTCTCCGGAATACTACTGTTAGTTATCATGTACATTCCATTCGTTCGATTTTACTAGTGCTAAAATGAGAATGCATGTTATCTTTTATCATTCTCCAAAGTATAACACTCGTGCTCGAGCGATCACTTTATACTTTATAGTTTGCCGCTACACCGAACCCCCTATTTTGTCTATGGGTTTCTCCTCGTCACGCTCGAGAACGGTCAAGCCGAATACCATACCTGTTTCGAAATAAGCAACTCGCCGATCCCGATCGAGTTACTTTTTTCGAGACATTGCTGTACTTGTTTCTATTTGTATAATGAATTTCGATATATTTATCTCGATTCTACATAGATATGCTTGGTACGCATTATGGCTATCAAAAAATCGAGTACATATCATTAACGTAAATCAAGCGGTATTCCCAGTAGAATTAAATAAACAGTTTTGCAGTTGTGAATCTGAAGCATTCATTCGATGTACATGGTGATTAAAATTTTTGTTTCCACTGCTTTTTCGAAAATTATCACTCAAGTTCATGTACATCATACATTCAAAATGGGAATTGTTTGTTTTAAAAAATATATCCGAACATTAGTATAAATAAGTCATATTTAACGAATGTATTTTTAAAAGAAAGTGAAAAAAAAAAGAATAGTGGTAACGTTTCAACGGGACTCGAACTTGCGACAGAGGAATTATTATGCTGATGCTTTACCGATCACGCCGAATTCGCTATTAATGGAGTCGCTTATAATTCACCAAGTAACCAGCAATAATAACTTCAATGTTGAATATCTCGTAAAGTTTACGACGTAAACTATAAATCGTCTACCCCCAAAACTGAATATCATTCGCTTCAGTTTTCCACTGTGCAAAGGCTCATCAAAAAATTAGCGTTATATCTGAGCCCGTTCCCTTGTCAGTCTCTCTCTTTCTTCTTTATCAAACTGTCTCTTTCTACTTCGTCGACGCTTTCAAACTTTGGACGGATTCGAAGCTGATCGAAACATTTGGTTACACATACAATGTATGTAGGTATAATAACCAGCCGAGGTGTCGATTCTAAGTTTACATGCGGCTCCAGCCGAGCGCGAACATAGAAAGAGACAGAGAGAGGAAAGCGAGAGCGAGAGAGAGAGAGAGAGAGAGAGAGAGAGAGAGAGAGAGAGAGAGATCCAAGGCACAAAGCTAGGAACCGAAACATATTGGGGGGCGCGAGACAAACTAATGTAACAATAAAACTTTTTTATTTATTAATTTTTTTAAATCTAACTTTTTCCAAAGCATTTGTAAGATTTTCATGATTACAATGAGACCAAACACGATATACATACAGCGAAACAGGAAAGTATTCGGCTATTTGTTTGTATTTTATATTTCATATTACCTCTTATATCAAAATTTTCTTTTTTTATAAATTATACAAGATGTTCGGCAACCGAACAAAATATAAAATAAGAATAAAAAAAATACACAGTAGCTTGGGATCGAACTAGCGGTACCTTATGTACGATACTACGATCAGTTACCAGCTGGACCGAGTTTTTTCGCCAGAATGACAGTTACGACAGTGTCGTATCCAGGGTAACAGGTGTGGGGTGCTATAACTATTGTGGCTATGAGCGCGAAATCATGAATATATTTGTAAAATTATGCAGGGGTAATTAAGATACACCTGTTTAGTCGTGCGTATACTTCATTAATGCTATGTTCGCTGCGCGTGGGCAAAAAAACCCAGCCGACTACGATAGCTATGTGAACTTGGCACCAGACTTTTCAAAAATTAATTTTTTTTTATAGAAAACGATAGCCTTTCGTTTGTACCTGATTGTACCTCCAATAGTTTCGTTTGTACCTCGACCAATTAATAATTAGAAAAAATTCAAAAAATGGTCAGCACCTGCCATCGAGATTTTTGAAATCGGTTTTTTCCGATTCTTTAGAATCGTTTGTACCTCAATAGTTGAAAATTAACGAACTTCACTCTTACGCGGATCAACAATTGCTATCAAATTTAAATTATTGAGGTACAAACGAAACGAAATGCGGTACAAACGGGTACAAACGATTCTAAAGAATCGAGAAAAACCGATTTAAAAAATCTCGATGTCAGGTGCTGACCATTTTTTGAATTTTTTTTTAATTATTAATTGGTCGAGGTACAAACGAAACTATTGGAGGTACAATCAGGTACAAACGAAATATTATCGTTTTCTATAAAAAAAATTAATTTTTGAAAAGTCAGGTGCCAAATTCACATAGCTGACTATGATACCTGCGAACCAAGTCGAAAAGCGTGCTTAGATGGTCGACACGGTAACAGAAAGGCAGACGACGACAGCGCTGCAGTGGAAAGCACGATATTGAGGCAGTCATGTTGGCATATGAATCGTCTCAATCATACGACAACACCAATGTAATTTTATGAGGCGACGAAGCAACCTTTTTGGCTGACTTTTTTTTTAAACTGTTCCTTATAAAATGCTGCTGCGGAGGATAGTTAAAGATTTTTGGAAAAAGACCCACAAAAAATGTTTTATCTTTAAACGTATTTTTAGCACGTTTCAAAAGCGAATTGCAAAATGTGTAACTATCCCCCGCAGCGGAATTTTATAAGGAACAGTTTAAAAAAAAAATCAGCCGAAAAAGTCGCTTCCTCGCCTCATAAAATTACAATAACTGTTTGGAAAATTACAAACGTTTGACATCATTATGTCTTTGTCTCTCCTTCGATTGTTGTATCTCCCTCTCTGTCACAGCATCATTGGAGAGACAAGGATCTATCTATCCTTGTCCCAGAGCTTCTTGCTTTTTCTGCAACTGTCGCTGAAGTCAACTCGGAGTTTTGCTGGGTCTCCTGCGCACCCTTAATACTTTTATCTCTCCTCTCAATGGAGTTTCTGTTATTGGCGCTGCTTATGGTATCTTTAGAATCTTTACTAATAATGACGACAAACAATATCAGGTCGATCAAGTCTAAAGTCCTTTGACTATATGTCAAAAGTTTTGGCTCAAAACAGATGTCGTTTTTTAACTTAGATATCTCGAATTGAAATTAATCATCATCATTGTTGCGCGCCGCGGTGGTTTATTTTAAACCGTGTTCGGAAATTGGCTGACAGTACTACCACTGGCAGTCTGTCGGTAGGCCAGTACTGACGGTGGTTTTACTGAAGAATGGGCGTTCTGTTTTACTGACAGTGCTGCCGAAACTGCAGTCGTGCATGCAATTGCGAACGTCTTTTCTATTACTCCCAACACTGTACGTACACATATACGTACACATATAAAAAATGTTGTAACACCTTGAAAGGGGTGGTTCGGGAAGTGATTTTAAACAACTCTTTCCTTAGCCTTTGTAAGCGCCATCTCAAACGAATTTCTTGAATTAAATTTGTTATCCCACGTGCTCTGCCATTATCCACAAAATAGGAGAATTCGTTTTTGGGAATGTAATTACGGGCCGACGTTTGTTGTCCTTATATGAGCATATTTTGGTTTGAATCAAGGCTCATTAGAAGAAAAAGGTCCAAAGTAGTGGGCTATTATCTTCGTTTGAGTCACAAAATTCTTTTAATAATCTAAAAATACTTTCATTCTGCGAGTATATTTTGCTCGACTTTGGACCACGGTATAAGACGGATAGGTGAACCGACTCTATCCCCACACCTGTGATCTTATAAAAAAAGTTACTTGACCCTCCTGCAGAGGGTATTAGTGTAACATGTGAACAATATCACGTTTACTTCCTTATGTTTCTTTTACACCGTGCCCACGGTGAAAGAAAGTTATGTCACCGTGACCGTGCCATAACCAGGTACTTAATACCAAGTGGGTTTCAAAATTTGTAGTGACTTCATGCATCTCCAATAAAAGGTTTTATAAAGGTAAATATTTTAACTTTTAAAATTAATGACGTGAACTTTTAAAGTTAACGACTACACAAATATTTATCGTTATGTAAAATGCTTATTTTATAAGGATAAATTATACTTACGATAATATTATAATAAACACACACGAAAATTTTGTTTCAATTATACAAAAATTTATTTATTTGTTATATAGTTTGGCTGTTTTCTTTTTTCCTTTGCAAGTAGAAAACCCTCAGCACACTTTGTTGCCTTGAAAAGAGTGATATTTACTGCACTTGATTGTTTATTATAACAACCTTTTACACAACACTGCCGTCCCATATTACAAATTTTGAAACCCACTTGGTATTGTTGCGCGGGCAGATGGGAATATTTTAATTATAAATTTTCTTGAAAAATTCAGTAGATAAAATAATACATGTTGCTTCGTTGAGATATGTTTAATGACTGCCAGTTGCAAATTAACAAAACGAACAGTACAATATTAACTTGTTTTTTAAAACAAAATGAACAAACCAATTAAATTAATAAATATACCTTAAAATTAACTTACAAATTTTGTGATTCGTTATTTATTCGTTATTTTGGCGCGTTAGCTAATTCAACAAAACTCCGCCGAGGGGAGCCATCAGGACACACAGTGTAGGCCGAATACCGCGTGGCGCATGCGCCCCCCCCCCCCACACACACACACACACTCAGAGAGAATGTTCCGGCGTAGCTGGAGAAGCACTGAAGCAGATACCAGTGTGCAGAGAGAGAGAGTCTCCTGCCGGCATGCATCTTGCACGCGTGTCTCCACACGCTCGTTACACAGTTAAATATATATTATTCATTACTAAATACCAGTGAGTGTTATTTAACCACCAGCTCAGAACACGGCAGTTTATATAGGCCTGCCTTTTTTTTTTTATGTGAGGAAATGCGTTTACGCACACCCCCTCAAATGGAGGGGGTAGTGTGGGACTCGCCCCCTGATTTGATATCAAAAGGAATACCTACTAAAACCTCACGGTGGCCGGGCACGGCGCTCTAGGGGAGAGCACCGGCATCTCAAAAGAACACTACCGGTGCTCCTCAGCGCCAGATCCGCTATGTCATAGCGGAGCGCCCTCTCCGGTGGGGAACTATTTACCTCCCCACCTGACCGCGGGCGCCACAGCCCGCGATCTCGCCTGTCCCTTTTAGTCGCCTCTTACGACAAGCAGGGATTACTGTGGGCGTACTCTGTTCCCTGCCCCACAGGGAAGAATGCCGCTAGGGGACAAACGGCTCCCGGCGACGCAGGCGCTGGGCAAGCTCGTACGAAGTGGGTGCCGTCAAGTTACGAACCCCCATACCCGGCGACCCTGCTGGCAGCTGGCGAGCTCAAAAGCTGAGCTCGCCGCCCATGTGTGCAGGGCCGCCACACCGCACCGGCCACAGCCTGCAAGGAGGACATGAGGGTTTATGG